ACCTCCTGGGATGGTGAATCCCCCACCTCCCTGGGCAGCTGTGCCACTGCCTCACTCATCTGGAGAAGAAATATTTCCTAATATCCCACCTGAATCTCCCCTGGTGCAACTTGAGGCCATTACCTCTTGTTCTACCACATCCATTGGATGGCTGGCGTTCTTTGTTACCCTGAAACCAAGCCTAAAATAGCAACTGAAAGCAGAAAGACCAAAAAAAAAACAAAAAACCAGCTCTGAAGACGAGTGAGCACCTGAAGATAGTGCTGGCCACCAGATGAACATCAAACAAGGAGCCCAGAGTACCTGAGTGTATCCTGGTTGCAATACCCATAACTTACAAACCTATTTGGGTATTTCCTATTTTCGCTCCCCACTTTTCCCTCCCTGTTTTCACTGCCCACATTTTAACTCCTCTGGGGCTAGATGGCCCTGCAGGAGAGGCCCCCAGCCCCTGAATGCACAGACAGGAGTGGAACAGCATTCTATATCTGAACCTGATCTGATCAGAGATCCTTTTCCTGACATCTGTGCCCACTGCTTTGTCCCTCCAGTATTTCCCTGTGTCTCTCTGGGACGACTCAGGCACCATCCTCTTAAAAACCCTCCCTAGGTGGTGAAAGATGTGATTAGATTCAATATAAATCTTGATGCTGGGGCTAAATGACTGTGGTCTTCCTATCATCATTACCCTGAGACATTACTTGCCCTCTTTTTCTTCAAAAGAAAATTAAAATTAAAAAAGACTGATGTTAATTAATGGCATCCACTCTGGTCACTGGTATCATTGTGTGGGCTGTAAGGCTGATCTCAGAACTGGGAGAAATGTCAGCAATGTTCTGTGCCTGACTGGTGCCAAGCATTCACCAACAAGGCAGATGTGAATGGCATTTTGAGGTGTGATTGCACCAGCCCTCCTCATCTGGCTCACTTCGGGTGCTGAAGGGTATCCAAATACTTCTTTTTTTTCCTCAAGAAATGTGTTATTTAGGCTCTGCTTTCTGAGTGCTCCGTGTTTGGCAGAGGGGCTGACTATCCATCACCCCTTGCTGCTGCTGCTCACTACCACCAGCCCACAGCTCCACAGAGACTCCAAAAAGCAGCTCAGTGCTCACTTTTGAGTGAGGGTGAACACACTGCAATGCCAACACAACAGCTCTCATCCCAAAGCAGGACCAGCGTGTGAAACATCAGCACAGAGTGCTTGGCAAGGTGGCACGGCCCCAGCTCAGCACCCACCCTCCCCTGCCTCCTTTCAGCTCTATTGCAAAAGGGCTTTTTTACAGGAATTTCAACCAAAAACGCATTTGCTAGGCCACCCTGGGGAAGTAAAGGGGGAAGGAAGCTCTGGATCTTTGAGCTCACATGGTGCTTGATAGGGTTCTGCTGGAAGAAAGGCAGGTTGGATCCACCTCTGGGGATGGAGGATTCTGTGCAATCAGTCACTCACTGCACTGTTGTTCCACTTTCTAGGCTGTTTCTATCTGAGTCCCCATCTCTTCTCTTTCTACTGAGTGGGTATCAGCCCCCTTCTTCACAAACCCAGGACCTCCTCCTGCTTTCCAGCACCATTACATGTCTGCAGCAGACCGGGATCCTGACTATCAGTTACAGCTACTACTGCTGCCCTATAAATAGTCAAAACGCAGGCGGTGCCAGCTCCCAGATCACATTTTAACCTTAAACGAATTGCCAGTTTTCTGTTGTAATTACCGAGGTTGGAAAGGAGTACAGACCTACAAACTTATTCCGAGTAAACTCTGCACGAAGGCTTGGCAGCTCCAGCTCTACAGCCTTTTTTAAGTGGAAGGCTCTTCCAAGCCAAATTCTGTCTGCGGGAGCAACCCGTGATAGCCTTGATAGAAGGTTATTTTGTCTCCGGTCTAAATGCTACCTATATTAGTAGTATGACTATGGGAAAACAGCCCCTGCTTCTGGGGCCATTGCTCTTGCTGTGCAAAGATCGTCTTTTTCTGCTGTTATTTTACTGGGATCACTGACCAAGGCAAGATCTTGTGCTTTCAGGGACTCGAGGGACTGCAAGGTGACAAAGGAGGAAAATATGTTCATGGGACACGGAAGAGGCAGCTTTCAGGAAACAGAGCCTCCAGCAGAACTCGTGTGAGGCTCCCTGAGTTCTTTGTGCCCTCTCTTGCCCCCCACCCTTACTTTCCAGCAGCACATGGGCCACTCCAGGCAACAGCACGCCTTTCTGAGCAAGCCAACATCTCCCCGGCAACAGGGCAGGCTGTGGAAATAGCACGGGATTTCCTTTTTGCTTGGCTTTTCCCACCTCTTGAGAAATGTCCTGCCTTTGTGCGTCTTCTCTGCCCAAAAATGTGAATGATGGTAACCGCAGTGCGCCTCAGGGAGGGGCAAGAAAGCTGGCTCTGCTCTTAATGGGAGACCGGCTGGTCTTTGCATCTGACAAGGAGAGAAAGGCTGAAAGAGGAGCAGGTCTTATGAGACAGGGTCTCTCCCACACACTGCTTTGTTCCTATGGGGAGGCAGCAGCGGCTGCACAGCATCCTCAGTCCTTCTGGTGAGGGAGGGAAGAGGAGGGCAGCCCCAAAAGTCACCTGAAAGAGAACATCTTCTTGCGAGCAAGGACCAGCCTAACAGTGAGATCCTGCACAGCTCTGTACCCAACCTGCAGGCAGGCCCTTATCAGCAGAGTGGGTCAGCGAGACTTTTTTGTGGTTAGTTTTGTCTTTTCAGCTCCTGCTTCCTATTTTGGTCACTGTGTGGCTGACTGAAGCAAGGAGGTTTAGCCCAGATTTTCCCCCAGCCTTGCACTCCCTCTAGACTAAATACCAGAGGGATAATTAAGGGCAGCAGAACAAGGAGATGTGTAAGAGAGGGCTTGGTTACTTTTCCTCAATAGCAAAAGCACAGAGCATCCAATTCACATCTATTACAGAGGGGAGAGTGAGGCTGTTTTTCACCTGGATCTGAGCAAGGTCTGGGTAACACGGTGAGGGAATAAGGGGGAGATGCATCTCCCCTGAAGTCTGGGGGGCTTTGTAGCAGCCAGACAGTCCCCGGCCCCATGTCCTTTCCTGCCTTGCTCCGAGTCACCTGGGAGCAGCCCCAGCCCCTGCTCCCCTTGGTCAGGTCTGTTTTCCTGGAGGCTTAAGTGATGAGTAGGGAAAATCCCTCACAAAAAGATTTGCATCGGAAACCCTTGGCTGCGGAATGACTTTTAAAATAGAAAAGCTTTGCTTGAAAAGGGATGAACTGTGCAGCATAATGCTCAACAAATCGCCTGTTTAATGGCCTCTACAGCAGCTGTGTATTAATAACAAAAGTGGGGTAGCAGAAGCCACGAGATTAAAATAAATAGTATTTGCTGCTAATACCAGCAACTTTCTGTGGAGGTTGACTAAAAGAAAGGAGCAAGTGGAAGACCATGGCAGGCAGGCTTGGCTTCTCTGCTCTCCTTTGTATTATGTCTACAAAAGGAGAAGATACTCCAAATCTTTTCCATAGGAACATGAATGGATGTGACATTCCATGCAGCCCAGTGCCCTTCCCCTCATTCTGACATTCTGATAACAGCTCTCCCCATCTATGCCCCCTGTTTTGCAAGCCTGGCACTCGGGCAGTGCTGAATTCCCCCCCCCTAGAATTAGGATTTCAGGCATTAAACAGGGAAAAGAGAATTTACAATTTAAAGCTGTCTGCCACAGACTGTTTATCAGACATGGGGAATGATTTGTTTCTGTTTTCCTGGACATAGGTTTTTACTGAGGCAAGATACGTTGCCTTGCTGAGAGCTGAGTCACTGAGTAATCAACAGATTAATGTAGTCAGTTTGAAAGCCGTCAGCATTAGTTCTCGGCAAGCGCACAAGAACTCCATTATTGTATCATTGCTGCGTTTGGGATGAAGGAGCCTCCAGGATTTAGGGTTCCTGTGGGAAAGATCCCTCAGTGCAAAGAAATCAAAACACCCCTTTGCGACTGGGAGACATAAGGCACCTCTTTATACAGCAGCACCACAGCAGGATTTTGGCATCCCTTCCAGCAAATGCTTTTATTATCAACTCTTAGATAAGGAGTTTGAGGTATGTAATACATCTGTCATTTGATAGCTTCCTAAAAATAGCCACGATAAACTCAGTGGCATACAGGACTTTGCCCTTAACAGGTCTTGAAACTGAAATGGTTATATTTCCAGTGAAAGCAAGTAGCGTTGCTTTCTGCAAAAAGACTGATCTTGACTTCTCTAGTGCCTTGTGAGTTTGCTTTGATCTAGAAATGCAGGAAGGAAAGGCAAAGGATAGCACAGGCAGCTGGTAAAGGAGACTGTTTAAAAATAGGGAGCTAGTTAAAACAACAGAGGAGCAACGGGGAAAGGTCTGGCTTGCTTAGGTGCGTGGCCTCACAAGGCTGCCAGACATCAAACTGTTACTCTGATGGACTTACATGAACACTGCTACCTAAGATCCTGCCTGTAAAAGCCTCAGTGAAGTAACAGATAGTCCTGTTTGCATGCAAGATTGCTGTTTGGGCACGCTTGAGTGGCAGAGATGTGAGTAAAAGTCAGTCAAGTCCCTGCTAAGTGCAGTTCATTCTAAAAGCCTTCCTATATTAGCAGCTGGTGGAAGGGATTTGAAGAGCAGCAGGACTTCTCCCTGAGACATTCCCACACACACCCCATGCACAGACAGCAGACAGGACACATCTTCTCTCTCTTTCCTCAGATCTATCAGTACCTCTCACTTCACTGCCCTTAGATGAACAGAATTATTTTTCATGTGGCCTGGCCAGTGCCAGGTTGTTGTGACACTTCCTACCTTAGCTGTTACATCACGTGTAATTGCACCTATGCACCTATTTCTTAAAAAACTCCATGCAATGGGCATGTAACAATAATGTAAACATTTCCCCTCACTTCTTTTCCCCCCGAAGACATTCAGATTGTGCAGACATGTTTTGTTTGTGCTGAGGAGTGTCCCAGTTCTCAGCTCTTTGTACCAAGAAGTGGAGATTTTAACTCACCCTTCGTTCCTTGTCACCGTATTCGATGCCCAAGGTATCCATGGCACGTACAATAGCTGCCAGAGACTGTATAGTGTTGCTGTAGACCACTGGCTTGTACTGCTTCACGTCTTCTCCAGAGAAGCCATCCTCATGGATGATCCTGAAGAGAAAATAGAGAGGACAAAAACCTATTGAGAATGTCATTCAGTGGGGGAGACACTGAAAACAGAACTGCGCTCGTCTGAAGAGCACATCTGGCAGCTTGATTCACTTAATTTAGTCATCATTTCTTTTCAAACTCTTCTGGCTGCTTACCACTAATGCATCTGAGCCCAGTGCCTGCAATTAACATCCCTTCTGCTCTCTGTCAAGGTCTCATGTAGGGCTGGTGCAGGCTGTCCCTGCACCCAGCAGTACCACCTCTTGCTTGCACATGGAGGCTTCCAGGTCCTACCTTATCTTTTCTGACTAGGCCTATGGAAGTATATTCCCTGCTTACAACGACCAACAGATCAGGTCTTAACTACTGAGAAAAAAAAAAAAAAGACAGAAAACTATTTTTTGTCTAGTCCTTTTCATAGCAACTCCTGGGTGCCTTCCAAAAGGAGTGGGTCAAAATCCCCCTCTGTGCATTTATCCATGCCACAGCCATGGATAAATGTAGCACCTGACATCTTCACAGGCCTTCATGCCTTCCCAGGCAGTGCTGGGAGCTCTGCAGCCTGGAGGCACGTTATGTATCCCTCAGGAAGCACTGCAGGACTGAAGCCCACGTCCTGCAGCTCCATGCGTTGGATGCTCTGTCAGTCTGTCAGTGCTGTCAGAACCAGCTGATGGGCTGAGTCCTTGCAGCCTGGCTGGACCTGCTGCCAGAATCACTTCCCCTGTGCAAAATGCGCTAAGCAGCTGCCTGGGTTCCGGCAAGCATGAATAAGAAATGAGATTATGAGACGTGTGCCATTATAGGCTGGGTCCTATCTGTAGACACACAGCTGGCCTGCTGGACACAGGAAACACATCCCTGTGTTTTGTAGCATGACATTGCCATGGGCAGGGTGGAAGATTGGTGCCTCATCTCTAAAACTCAAGGACTAAGCCAGGGCGTGCCCAGAGAATGGCTCCAGTTCACAGAGCTAATTGTGCTTGACAGCAATTCTTTCCAGTGAAGACATAAGTTATGATCCTGTCTCTTAGATATTAGCAGAGAGGATGATCTGCTTAGCCAAAATGAAGTTCTTCCTTTCTCATCTGCAGATCTCACTGGACAACGTACAGTCCTTCAGTAACGGATACGTTCACTAATAGAACCCAGCATCCTGTCTATAATGCGACTCTTCTTTCTTTTTTTTTCTAGATCACATACACAAACCGAGGTTTTGACCAGAGCTGGCATCTCCCCTAGGGAGAAGAAGAGCAAGCAAGGATCATATGCAAGAGTGCAATAGATACAGTGCTGGGATGGCATGAAGAGCAGAGCTGGATGCCAGCCTCGTGTTATTAACAGATGACTACATGAAGAACAAGGCTGATACAAGCACAACAACAGCTACTTGCCATGATGTGAACCTCACCAAAAGGCATTCTAACACCAGTGACCAACCCCCTGCTTTCCCACCATGGCACTGACCCTAACAGACTGAGGGCCCTCGGTGCTCCTCGCTCTCCATGCTCTCCAGACCTTTCCCCATCTCACAGCCCTCCTTGGACGCTCTCTAATAGCTTCTGGGAATGTCTGCTTTGCCAAAAGTTGCAGTCAAGCCTGAAGAGTTATAACTGGCACAAAGCACAGGGTCTGCATCAGCCCCACCGGAGTTCGGTAGAGCCCCTGCTCCTCTGTGAGCTCTGCATAGGACGGACCCTGTGGGTATTCAGAAAAAGCACCACCAGAGATAATTCACTCCTTGTGTTTGGCTGTTTTGGGGTGGGATTCTGGGGTACGGAGGGCGGAATGTTGGCTCTGGGCAACTCAGAGAAGGCCTCGTGCTGTGAAGTTGCTGCCTAACGCTTCCACATCTAAACACCCTGTGTTTCTAAGTGCTCCATGTTTCCCAACTCCCTGCCACATCACAGGGTTCCCTGCTCTCAGGAGGCAGAACCAAGCAGTGCAGAGCGGCTCTGGTATCCCTCAGTGCACATCCTGCTGACAGGGCAACGTGTTCAAAGCACGGGCATAAAAGCATTGCTTTGAAACGGGGCATAAAAGAACACGGAGGAAAAAAACTCGATTGTTCCTCTGTGAAATTTCTCTGGGAAGGCAGCCACGACGACTAAAAGCAGCGCAGCTGATGCCAGTATTGAAGTTCTGCCGTAGGAAGTACCTACGGATTAATCAATCATGCAGTGAGCACATTACCTAAGATTGGAGCGAGCGAATCCCCACTGACTAGTGCTGTTCCAAAGACTACTAGGACACTGTGAACTGGTTTATTGTCCTATATGCTCTTAGCAAATGTTTTTCTTCTTGCTTGCCTCAGTGAGTCGATCGCTGGGCTCCTCTGGCGGCTTTTCCAATGGTTCTTTGGGAACGTTCTCGCTGCCGCTCAACTGCTTGGGATTTACCTTTCTGCAGAACTGTGCCTTACTGCCTATGGGACCACTCTGGGGAGGTACACTGCTAGGGAGAGGCTTAATCCACACTGGAACAGGCTGCCCAAGGAGGCTGTGGATGCTCCATCCCTGCAGGCATTCGAGGCCAGGCTGGATGTGGCTCTGGGCAGCCTGGGCTGCTGGTTGGTGACCTGCACACAGCAGGGGGTTGGGATCAGATGATCATCGTGGTCCTTTTCAACCCAGGCCATTTTATGGTTCTATGATTCTATAATTCTATGAATCCAGCTTGTGTACTTCAGCATGCAAGCAGCAATGGGTTTTGGATACTATGACCACAAAAAATGCAAAGGAACTAATAGAAAAGAGCAGGGCATTATGACTGTCAAGTTGTTAAAGGTTCAGGCAGGGTGGGCCAGTCCTTAAGCAACTTGCAAATTAGTAGGAACTGAGGATTTTCAGCACTAAAAATGTGAATTCTCTGTTTTCTAAATGGCTAGTATATTTTTCTGTGTCTGAAATACAAAGGAAGCTGCTGTAGGGAGGCTCCTTTCTGCCACATGAGAGCCTGTTCTTCCCAGGGCAGAGGAAGGAAAAGGATTTAAGAGGATCCCGGGGGTTGCTGTGGGGGGGAGACAATGATGTAATTTTTGAAAGCGATTCTAAGCAATTAAAAAGCCATTTCATTCACCAAGTGATTAATGAAACAGCATGCACTGAATGGAATGGTGCGAGACAACTGAATCAACCTGTCTAATGTACCTATCAATGCCTACTTCCTATCCATCAGCCACTGACATAAAGTCCATATGTTTGCACATTATATTGTCATACTCATTTTAGGATGCCATTAACAGACAGGTATTTGCTGGGGAGAAGGGCTCCACTGCAGAGCAGATCTTCTGCCACCCCACGGCAAGTCATTAATCCTGAAGAAGCGCCCAGTGCCTCAGTGATTATTGCTTAATTGCAAAATAAATGAAATACTTGGAAACAGGGGTTGCATCTTGCATAGAGAATCGCCTTGGCTTCCATTCAACAAAGCACTCACGCGCCTTCAGCCTCTCACCAAAAAATGGACGTATTAAAGAAGCAAAGCCCTAGATCACTTCACTGCATGTCTCTGCTGACATGTGGCGACCCAGCAGCTGGGAAAGGGCAGCTCTGGATGGAGCACACAGTCCCTCCAGCACAGCAGGGCTGCATCTCGAGCTGAGGAATGATCCAAGCCAGAATTCAGTTCACCCAGGTCAGTCCTGGGGGAACATTTGTCCACCTGGAACACCTCTCCTACGAAGAAAGGCTGAGGGAACTGGGCTTGCTTGGCTTTAAGAAGACAAGGCTGCAGGGAGACCTCATTGTGGCCTTCCAATCCTTGAAGGGAGCCTATAAACAGGAGGGGGAACGGCTGTGTGTGAGGGTGGGTAGTGATAGGGCGAGGGAGAAGGGTTTTAAAGTGAGACAGGGGAGGTTTAGGTTGGATATGAGGAGGAAGTTTTTCCCCCAGAGGGTGGTGAGGCACTGGAACAGGTTGCCCAAGGAGGCTGTGGATGCCCCATCCCTGCAGGCATTCGAGGCCAGGCTGAATGTGGCTCTGGGCAGCCTGGGCTGCTGGTTGGTGACCTGCACACAGCAGGGGGTTGGAGCTGGATGAGCACTGTGCTCCTTTTCAACCCTTTTCATTCTATGTTCTATGATTCCATGATTCTATGAACTATTCCTGTCCCACTCCCTACCAAAATAGGAAATGAGATCAGTTTAATGTGCCTCATTTTTTAATAATCCATGCAGGATGTCAATCATCTGCCCTTTTATTTCCTAGGTGCTTACAAACTGATTGCAGTTCAATTCCCTTGGAAGCTTCTACAAGTTGACCAAACTTTAACCTCTTTTACTCCTATTTTCTTCCTCTATATTTAAGGAAGACAGACACCACATCTACACATTTTTCCTGTCTCACAGTACCTGTCCTCCAAGGGCTCTCAAGGAGAAGTAGATATGTACCAGGTATGGAGCACGGAGCTCCTGAAAGCTGGTTTGTGTGCAGGCTGTTCCTCCTGTCACAGCCCTGCCGCATCTCCTGGACTTTGTAACTGCTCCAAAACCTCAAGCAAAAACTGCTGAAATGCTTCCTGCTGACTTCCTGCTTGTGTGGCTTCAAACTGCCTGCATCACTGCAAAAGACATACATGGAGCCTTCCAATGACCTAGCAGAGAAAATAAATCCCATACTGTTTCTGTTCTGCCTATGACGATTTACTTTCCATCAGCAGGATGTTCCCAGCTGAAAGAAGTTTCCCCATATCAAGGCACATCCCTAAAATGACAGTGATTTACTTGAATAAAACTGGGCAAGAAATCGCCAGGAGATTATTACAGTAGAAGTCTACTGTGAGCAAACACCTTGCAAATGAACGGTCCAGTTCCTATCAATTCAGTTCTTGCTCTTCATCTTCATCTGAACAAATTAAGGCAGTTAAAGGTCACTGCACAGCTTTCGGACGGCAATGAGCTTCATCTGCAAGGCTGCAGGTAGCTGTAAGGAGGCTGCAGGGCTTCAGCTGGCAGCGCCCTGCCTTTGTGTTTCATATCAGGTTCTGGTGAGGGTGGGCA